CCACGTCGACTTCACCTTGACTTTCGGTCTTCCCAAAGCCAAAAAGGAGCTCAAGGAAAAGTTTGGCCTGGGAGACTTGACCGATCTTGACTTTGCATCGTGAGTACACGAGACCTCGAGAATTTTCCCAAGTACACCAATTAACTTTGTCCAGCGCACTCGAATCGGGACCTTGGTCGTGGCAGTTGACCCAGTTGTACTCCACCACGACTCTTGGTTATAGCCCGTACTACGTCTTCTGCGATTACGTCGAGAATGTTTGGCCCAACTCGACCAACCCTGTCCCCGGCGCAAAGGGCGTTGGTCTTAAAAAGGCTCTCGATGGATATGCCAAGTACATGAAGGAAGAAGTTATCCCGGATACCTGCGCCAATTCCGGTTACCCTGAATGGCAAGGCCGAAACAACACCTTGTGCTTCCAGAACGAAAACGCCACCAATATTGCTTACAAGGACCTTTCTCCTTCCAACTGGCTCAACCGTCAATGGTGGTGGATGGTCTGCAATGAGCCCTTTGAGTGGTTCCAAGACGGTGCCCCGCTCCTTGAGCACACTCTTGTTTCGAGACTCATCAAACCAGACTATTGGCGCAGACTGTGCACTCTCTTGTTCCCTCCGAGTGAAGGCAGTTACGGTATTATCCAAGGAAAGAGGGCAAAGGATGTAAATAAATGGACCGGTGGTTGGGACGTAACCAACACTACCAGGGCCATGCACACCAATGGAGAACGGGATCCATGGAGAGATGCTACACTCAGCAGCATCTTTAGGCCGGGCGGTCCGCTCAAGAGCACCGAGCAGCTCCCTGTCCGAGTGCTCAAGGGAGGACAACACTGCTCAGACTTGTATGGACAAAACTGGGATGTCAATGAGGATGCCAAGAAGTTGGCTGAGGACGTGTTGGTTAATATGAAGCAATGGATTGGCGAGTTTTATGAGGAGAAGGGCAAACCCAAGCCTTGGGAGTAAGACAGTGATAGGGGGTCTAACTACATTTTTTTGCTTTTCTGGCGCGTCTCGTTTTGACAATACACCCTTGGCGAGTTATCTTTGTCTCATCGAGTCTAGGATGGCGGCCCAATCGTTCAGCTTCTGCAGCTAGACTGTGCCAAGTCAATATTTGGTTTGAAGAGGATGAGGCTCTTATCTTATCCTTCTTCTGATTCATGGCCTCTGGAGGAGGGCTCCGGACTCCATACATGCTGGCCGAGCGTAGAGGAGTCCTGCATGGTCTGTGTACAGGTCTGCCACCCCCATTTAAGGACGAATGTGCCTCTTTTTCTCTTTGTCGTTCTGCACGTCTTCACGCAATAACTGCCGTGATGGTACGCCGCCGCGAAGACGAAGAAGAGCTTATTAACAACACTCCTCGAAGACATCGCTGCCGCAAAGGAGCCGGGAATCCTTGGCTCCAGCCAATCTATAACTGGTATCTACCTTTTGTTTCCTTGGCTTACACTCTGTTCGTCACCTTTGTCATGATATTCTGGCTGGATGGCAGATCATTCGCCGTCTCCGGGACTGATTCAGCAGACGGACCCAAGGGATTCACGCAGCCAGAAATCTCAACACTGATTTCAGGATGCCTGGTTCTGTCAAGAACTATTGGCACGACCTGGCAGGCACTCATGACTTGGCGATGTGTATTTATTCTGCTCGAAAAGACCGGCCTGTCTCTCCAGGAAACGAGCATGATGGCATCATGGCGACTGCCACCAGCCTATTGGAGCTTTCGATCTCGCCACAAGTTCGCCATTGCTGTGGTTTTGCTCTTGGCTTGGCCGGCCCAATTCGTAAACCCTCTGGCATCCGGTTCCGTGTCATGGATTCCTTCAAAAAGCATCTACAAACACAATCTCGGCAACCATACATCATTTGCAACACCGATTGCGTCTTATCAATACGAGTGGTTCTTAAGGTTCTCCAATGTCCGGCAAAACCTGGTCAAAAAGTCTGCCGGCCTGGCCAGTCTGTCCACGCTATCTCACAGTCTCAACCAGAGCTCCATCGTCTCGCCGGCCCGACGGATGTCCCTCGAGCTCAGCCAGTACGTCAATGGAACTGCAATCAGCAATGCCACCGTCCCCTTCTTTCAGATTGAGGATTTTGAATGGGTTTCCGACCTCGACGGGTTACCTCAGGGCATAATGAAAGCTATCAAAGATCGGACTAGTGGCTTCCTATCCATCTCCAAAGACCCAAGAACGGAATATGAGAGTCCCCTCGCCCAGACCGTAATTGGCACGTCTGCACTTTTAAAAGACTCGGTTTGGGAGCCTCCCGAGCCATCAACCACATTACCTCACCCGCGAAAGTTTAGAGGAATCAAGTACGCCGCGATTATAACCTCACGCACACCGAACGACGGTCGTGACTTGAATTTCAATTGTCGGGAAGCGAAAAGCGAATTCGATCCTCTACCACCTCCTCACACGATGAGATTGCTCAACCATCCCGAGTGGAATAATCATTCGACGTGCTACGCGGTTGCAAAGCTTCATGTTACTGCCGGAGTGGTGCAGTGTTCTCAGAAATTTCAGTCTCGTCCGTCACTAGGATCGGGATACTCTACCTGTCTGTTGGATTCTAGTGTCTTGACGGCCGATGGTTCGCACCTGGAAATCCAGGATGACCCGCTCGTCGACGAAGTCATGGCGTTTATGCCCGAGGTTCAGGCTATGGGAGCTGCCCTGGCGTTGTACTCGAATGCCAGACTTCAAGGAAATTTGGAAGCGTATCTGCGGAACTCGCTTATACAGGCTTATCAAGGGACTTGGAGTGCGTTGGTAGAGTTCTTTGGAGAGGGTAGTGATAAGTTGGTCAGTGAATATTGGACACCGCAGCTTGTTTTGAGGGCTGAGGTTGAAAAGTGGAGGATGTGGGGTTGGATGGGGGTTAATCTGTTGTTGGTGGTGGCTGGGGTTGCGTTGATTGTTGTTCAAAATATGTGTGATGGCAAGACTGTCAATAACCCCGTTGTGGCTGCTTTGATGGTGGATTCGTGGGATGTGGCGAAGAGGGATGTGAGGGGGTTGCTATGTAATGCAGTTGATTTGGGCAAGGGACACGGTGATGGGACGGTCAGAGTTAGATTAGAAGTCAGCAATGAGGGGGACAAACACTATCAGCACCCGAAATTGGTTGTGGATTAAGAGTTCTTCAATTCAGTTCTGCTATTTCTGAATTTTACTCTGTCGGAGGAATATCCTTTCCCCAAGGAAACGCACTACTCAACGCAGCACCATAACTCCCCAAACTATGATAATCCCTCGTTGTCGGCGTACCAAAGAATTGCCTTTGCAAAAACGGCAAAACCCCATTATACCCACTACCATCACAATGTCCTCCACTCCGGACATTGATCCCTATTTTATCCCCAACCCCAAGCCAATCATATACTATTTTCGCAGCAGGAAACACCACTGTAGCAGTTCCTTTACTATTCACAAACTGGTCGCCGACCCCCTGATCTATAATCAGAGCTCTAGGAGCAATAGCCGCGGCAATAGTATGAGCATCAAAAGGTAAATGTTCTGAATGACCCATGAATTTTGAGAGGGTAGAAGAAGTCCACCATCCTGCTCCTTGTTTAGAGTTTTCTAGGGTTTCGCCTTGACCGGAAAGGGAAGAATAACGATAAGGGCCTAGACCTTGAATGCCGGAGGACATTGGTATGGTGATTGTTATTCGGGGGTCGAAGAGACCGGCTGCTAGGGCTGCTTTGCCTAGACGGGAACAACCGGTTACTGCTGATAGGAGGGGGTTTAGCTCTGGGGTTGTGAGTGGGAGGGCGTCGAGGGTTCGATGAAGGGACCAGGCCCAGGCTGTTAGGACACCTTTTATATCGTCATTAGTATATGGGTTTGTTTGGGATTGTGAGAGAGGTTTTCATACCAATATCCCTCCCATTATAGATAGACCAAAACGCCCCAGTCTTTGCATTACTATCAGCCGCCACTCCCATATAATCAACCTGCACAATCGCAATCCCAGCCTGTAAATAACTCTGACTCGGTATTCCACCCCCTAAAGACAAAACCACCGGCGCTTTCTTAGTAGCATTCGCCCCAGAAGGAATCTGTAAAGTAGCTTTAAACGTCCCCTTTTTATTCCCGGGGCCAGTTACAGTTATTGTCAGAGTGTTACCTGACCTCGTAGCGGATACGGTTTCTTGGGATGGATCAGGATAAAACCCGAATTGGTATTCTTGAAGAAGACGGATGATTTCTGGTTGACGACATTGGAACCATTCTTTATGGGAGGAGGTTCGGTTGGTTTTTTGGGTGTTGGTGTTGGTGAGGAGAGAGGATAGAGGGAGAAAAGGATCGGGGAGGGTTGATTGGGGGGAAAGTTGTTGCCATGTTGGGAGGGGGGAGGGGAATGGGGGACATTGGATGTTTTGACGGGGGGAAGGGGAGGAGAGGGCGATGGCTATGAAGTTTAAGAAAAGGAAAGATTTCATTTTGTTGATGAGGATCAAAGAACGAAGTGGTTGGATATGTTGAGTGAGGATGGAAAAAGGGGCTATTGTGAGGGTATATCAACAAATACAAATGCAAAGGTATGTACAGGTACACCCTCTTCCCGCCGTCATGGTTCCCGAGAGGTTACTTCCCGTCATCCGAATGTATAAGAGTGTGGTATATTACCCATATTGACACGGTCTATGAGTACCGCGATCCTCGGATGAGGCTACCCCATACTGCCCAATGCCAGGATATTGCTGAAGATCGTTACATTTGGACATGTCACAATATTCCACGTGGTGTTCATGTTGTTACTGTCGAGGAGGCACACGCTACATGTGGATTTACCCGTAAGTAGTGTTCCAAGAAGGGAGCCAAACATATCTCCGGAATAACTTCATGTTTTTTCTTATTGACCCGATGAAAAATGAATGCAACACAAACCCCACAACAAAAAGAAGAAAAAAACTCACGAGTCATGACAAGGGTAAAAAGATTGCAGCTCAAGAAGGAACAAGACGCAAAAAAAATGCCTTGACAAGAGTGGGATTCGAACCCACGCCCTTTCGGACCACGGAATTCTTGAAGTAGAATGTAGATTAAGGATTAATCCTTAACGTGGCGCCTTAGACCGCTCGGCCATCTTGCCTTTGCAACCATGCTGTCTTTTGCGGACTGGAATGTGTCGATGGGGTTTGAGTTATATTGGTGAGTGCAGGGCACAACCAATGAGGGGTAAGTAAATTGAAGGAGCATTCAATTGACGAAACAAAATCCCGCCGTCCTCCATCTCAAAACGGACAGAATTGCGTCAGTGACACTATGTCTCGTCTGATAGTAGACGTATTGTTTGCTTCTTTGTTTTGCTGGCACTTGACTGGGAAACATGAAGCATGCATCAGGACGAATCAAGACAAATTGGTTTCGGAAGGGGAAAACCGAGTCTCGTGAATCAGATCCATTCTAAATGTCAATATGTCACACCGTATCACAGTACACTGTCAAACCTGCAGGGAGTGTCTTCTTCTCACGAACTCACTCGTGGTTACAACGTGTTTTTTCGGGCTTCATCATAGATCAGCCGCACTCATCACAAACATTCAAGATTATTCAAAAAGGTTGTATTCAATCCCAAACGAGATTACAACAAACCTTTGATCGTCCCGAATGTTCTCGGACTCCCTCATAAAACGTTGCATCGACAATTCATCTTCACAAAAAAAGCAAACAGAGATAAAAACAAAATAATTCAAAAAGGAAAAGAGTTCGAGCACTCTTTGGGAAAGACGGCCCGTATCCGATGCCTTTGAGCCTTGGTCCAAATCCATTCATCCCCTGCATGATACATCCAGCCATTTTTTTGACTCTCTTGCTCTTTTTCAAATTGGGATTAGGCCGAGCAAAGTGCCGTACATTGTACTGGCCTTATGCAACATGGCCATGTTTGGACACGGGAGAATTTGATTCATCACAAACATAGATGAGAAAAAACAAGAAAAAAGCTCTCTTCCGACGAGGTCCGAGTTCTTTTTTCAATAAGAAATGAAAAAAATTTCATGATAAAAGAAAACACACACACTAGTAGGAACAAACATATGAGAGGTCATATTTTTCTTGGTTTTTGTTGTACTCGAGGGCCAAGAGCTGCAAGGTGCATGCATATCTGTGATTCCCATTCGTGGATCGCAATGTGAGGAGGAAAAAGAAACTGGGAAATCAAACCCGAACTTCTCCGGTCTGGAGATCTGATCTGCCAACAACTGTCCCCCACCCCCCTGTCTCCCAATGACCCGGGAAGGATGTCGATCACTTGCCGTGCCGGGTGGTGTGTGCGTCTGCCGGTGGTGGGTTGCCTTTAGATATCATTGGTTGAAGAGTGAATCATGGCTTGTGGCTTTTTGCACTTTTCCCTCTCTCAAAATGAGAGCTGTGAGAAAAAAGAAAATTCAAGACGAAAATTTGAAACTCTTGGGAGATGCAAGAATGAAATAGTTTCTTTGGCGGATAAGAGGCAGGTGTCCGTATCCGACAGCCTTATTGATCCATCCACAAAGATCTACCCGGCGTTACACTCATCGGTAGAGGTGACAATGTCAAACCCATGATATGGGGATCTACGTCGCACCCGCATTATGGCAGGGGAATGGGGAATATCAACCAACTTTGAAAGTGAAAAACGGGAATCCGGTTTACCTCGTCAGGCCGTTGGACATCACAATCTCCACCCCCACGAGTTCTGTTTTCCCCTCCAAAGCAAGATGCAGGGGGGAGTGAAATCAGTCGACTCGATTCAGTTTGTGAATCTCTTGTGTGTAGTGTTCGGCCCGATGACCTGTTCCTCCCTACCATCACGGTCAACAAAGGCATCAGCCACAACGGGACAGAGACAGATACACCTGCATTATGTAGCCCAATATTTTCATGCACCTCGATGAAACTGTAACATGGCGCAACAGTGAACGACATGGAGACAAACATCGTGCTTGGTCCTCCTCGATCGTCGTGATATATATTTCCCCCATGACATCCTCATAATCCTTCGGACTCTTAACCTCGTGGCATCTTCCCTTGTCAAAGTCTCAAACTCATCACCAACATCTTCGCCTAGCGGCTTATTCGGGCATTTCTCTTCTTTCCCTCCCTCTATCCCACTTATTCATTTATTCATCTTTTCCCTCCTTCACAATGATTCCACCACGAGATGAATCCCCTCCTCAACCAACCAAACCGCCCATCATGTTAGGTTCCGAATTCGGCACAACCCCCAACACCAAACCCGTTCCCTGTCTCAATGCAATCGGCATCTGGTGGATCATCTACGGCTTCGTCTGGACAGCCCTAGTCCTAGCCGGCATGATCTTTCTCTTTCTCAAACGCAAAACCCCCACAGTCAGACTCAGAGGTCTTCCTTTAACCTTTGGCGGCATCATCTTGCTTCATCTCTACTGGATCACAGTTCAAATCGGATATTCTGTCGGTCCTTTAGCTCCAGAAGTAGCAGAGTTTTGGATCATGAGTATTTGGTATCCCTTTGGAATTGCGCTTTTCCAAGCTGGAAACAGTCAGTTCTTGCATGTCGCTAAAGCTCAGAGTCGATTTGCTATGCCTCTTAGTCAGATGATTAGTAAATTTGATGAGAAGAGAGCGGTTCTCCCTAAAAAGCAATGGTTTCTCAAGAAAATGTTGAAACTTAACGGAGGAAAGAAAAAATCTCTTGCTAGACAAGTTGGTGAGGATAAATGGTGGAATTTCTTTCTTCCAAACGAGTATCAAGCTCGAATGTTTACTTTTGTCTCTATGGGCATGATGGTTCAGGTCAGTTTTTTTTCCTTCCTTCCTCTCTCTTCCGTTTCTAACATCCCCCTAGTTCCTCGTAGTAATAATCATCTTTCTCATCTCCCGCAAATTCCACTCATCCTTCGGCATCCCCGGAACAGAAGTCCACGGCTCAACCCCAATGGAAATAGCCATGAAACAAGGTCGAGGCTGGGAATGGTGGCCTTCCCTCTTCTGGCAATTCATCTGGTCCTGGATCATCGCCCCAATAATCATCTGGCGCTCCCGCAGAATCCGCGACACCCACGGCTGGCAACTCCAAACCATCGCATGCTGCGTAGCAGGTCTTCACGCCGCCCCAATGTGGCTCATCGCCTTATACGTGCCCGGAATGGCACCAGTAAACGCTTATTTCATCCCTCCCCAATGGATCGCTTTATCAATCTCGGTAATCGAAATCTTTACAATCTTTATCCCCTGCTATCAAGTCCGTAAAGACGCCATACTCTTCAAACAAGCACTCGCAACTCGTCAAGACTGGGAAAAGCGTCATCCAACTCAATCCAGCTTTAAATTCTCCTACGATTCCAAATCAACTTCTTCCTTCTCAACCTCATCACGCAATACCCCCCTCTCCCCAACCTCAACCAAAGTAGTTTCAGACTCCGGCGGCAGCAGAAACTCAATATCCTTCAACGACCCCTGGAAAAAATCTCCTCTCCTCGAATCCTCCTCTACCTCTCCTCAACAAGAATACGACCTCTCCCATCTAATAAACGACGACTCAATCCTTTCCAAAACCGCCCTAGACCTAGTCCTAGCCAAAAACCCCGAACCCCTCCGTCAATTCTCCGCCCGCCGTGACTTCTCCGGAGAAAACATTGCCTTTCTCACCGCAGTATCCGAATGGCGTTCTTCGCTCCCTTCTTCATCCACTCGTCATTATTCAACCGCTTCTACCTCTGCCACTCCGTCAAAACCTGCAGACCACCCAGACCAAATCCGACTCATCTACACTCGCGCATTACTCATTTACACAGAATTCATTTCCAACCGCGACGCAGAGTTTCCTATAAACATTGGATTCGAAATCCGTCGTGCGTTGGAAGGTATTTTCGAGAGAGCAGCAAGAAAGTTACTTGGTGAAAGTTCAACTTCCTCTGCTACACCGTTCGACGACAACAACAACAACACAGTTTCTTTGCATCAGACCAAGAGAAGTGATTCCCGGAGTTCAGAAACAGCCATTATGGAAATGGAGACACCCCAGCAGCAGCAAGATACAGCATCAGCATCAGACATCTATCAAGGCGATATCCCCCCAGCATTCGACGCCAATGTCTTTGAGAAAGCATACGAAGATATTAGGTATCTCGTCTTGACTAATACTTGGCCTAAATACGTGAGGGAATGGAGGACGAATAGTAGTTCTTTGGCTTCCTCGTCTTCGGGTTCGTCTGATGCAGGTGGTGGTGGTACAGGATCAAATGATGGACTTGTTGCTGCTGCTGCTGGGAATGGAGGGAGTAAGAAAACGAAAAAGAGGTCGGGAACTGATAGTACGGGGACGATGAGTTCACAGGGAAGTTTGTGGAGTTTGAAGGGTGCCATGAAGGAATTGGGTATTAAGGGGTGATTTTTCTTTTCTTTTTGTTCGTGTCGTGGTTGAGAGCTGGTGGTTGAAGACTTGGTTGTATGTGTTATTACCGGCGTATTGCTTCTCGTTTTGTATGAACTTCTGATGTTTCGATGTGATGTAAAGTCTTGGTGTTATGGTCTTTTCTGTCGAGTCGTTGTGCCTTTTAAATAAAAGTTCTCATTATTCTTTTGACAAATTCCACCCTTTTTTCAAGCCCAGACTAATTGGTGGCAACCGTCAGTAATGCTCTTCATTGTCTTGTGACACACACAACGTCAATAATGTTTGAACTCAAATGAAATATCCAAAAAATGCTCATCAGTCCATTATCCGCTCATGCAGTGCTTGATGTTTCAATCACACGTATATCATTCTATCTCGCCGCCGGCGGTTACACAGATCATCAATCACATTTCCATCTGGAGAATGATCTCCCTCTCCCTGCATACGGCCCATCCCTTGTCACACCCTCGATTTTACATGACAAACAAAAGGTTGGTATCTAAACCATCAGTTAGCACAATGCTCCCTAGAGTCAACAGAGACAGGAAATAAACTTACCCAATGGATGACTGCAAGAAAGTTGAGGCTTTTGAGAATAACCCTTCTCCAAAATATCACGGACATTGTTGAGAAGCTCAACATAGCTCTGCTGGGGATTAGCCTTGAGAGCCGAAATAAATGCGTGAGACATGGCGCCTGTGGCCTGAGAATTAATAGTAGCATCGGCCGAC